CGGTGGCAGATGGCTAATGACCAGCAGCGACAGGGCATTCAAGCCTGCCTTGTTTTCTGAGAAGCGATATTTTCATGTTAATTTGCTCTGTGTCCTGCAAAGATGAGACAAATCACCTGCTCATAATTCAGGCAAAGTAGAGACCACCAGGAGCCGAGAGGGGGTAATGGCTCGATTCCTTTAGGGGTGAGAGGAGAGAAGGATCTGGGAGAGTCTTCCTCATTTGCAGTGGAGGGGGACCCATCAGTCACTTTGCATTATGTCAAATTGAGAAAGATGAATCAGCCCTGGGCATCCCATACTGACACCAGAGCCACTGTTTACTGCAAGCAGATATTATTCATGAAAACAGACATTTCCCAGAGGCAGAAAACAGGTGCTATTAAGAGTGTGTGTCAGTCTCTGAAGTCTGGGTTTTGTAAAATAAACCTAATAGTATATTTTATCTCCTAGTGAAAAGATTACAACCAACAGAAATCTGTAAGAAACATTCAATTGAAGATAAAATGAAATCTAATTCACAGGGAAAATGACCCACGCAGACACATAAACCTTGAGCTTTTCGGCCTTCTCAAGCCCTATAGAATTCATTTATCAGAGAAATACATAAGTAAAATGTAATTTTTATTCCAAGATTGAGTCATACAAAGGGGCCATATGGTCCTGAACTAAAAGAACCCTGTCCTATTTTGGAGAGGCAGCTGATCTCTTCTGACTGATCTTTCAGTGCCTTGAATTTCTAACTTGTGAAATTATACTGCCAATTTCATCAAACATGTTATATGCACAGAATGTCCAAAGAAAGATATTAGGTTCTCAAGAAGGAGTTTATAAGATGTTGAGAAGCCAGGTCATATACTAGCAAATACACTGTACCATTATTATAGAAAAGCCTAAGTACCAAATGAGTAGTTCAGTAAAACAGGGCATTTCATTTTAAAACCCTATAAACCTCCTTAAGGAACGAGACAGATTTTATTTATAGATTCTTTCTGATTCCCTCTCATAGGGTGGCAGATTAAGGCATGAAAGAGAAAAAAATCTGGAAGCCCCTTTTTCTCATAAAGCCCTCATAAATAAAAAGTGCTATATTAAGCACAGAGACTGTAAATTTATCATGAACCCTAAAAAAAAAAAAGTCAATCATTAAGGTGTCAATTGTCTCATAAGTTAAAGCATGAAGTCCCAGAAGACAATGTCACATCTCAAAGAAAAATAAAGATGGCACTGAATTCGTCCATAATCAAGTAAACTGAAAGATAACATTCTGAATTAGAAAGAAGAAAACTACATACTAGATAAGTCTATGAGGCAAAATGTGAGTATCTGCTGACTTCCAAGTGCAGCAGTCAGCAGGCTCCTCTAAACAAACATCATTATCAACACCAATGGATGTGCCTTACGATGTCAGGAAGAGGTGACGAAGACCTCGAGATGAAGTATGCATTAGATGTAGACATGTGTTTATTTATTTTTTTAGAGTAAGGTGTATTTTAAAATGTTGGAAGGAACCACCCGTGATTTTATTTTATTCTCATGAGCCTCTCAATGACAATTTCCCATTCAGGCCTATACCATACTTCACACTTACTTTATCAAAGCCTGACATGAATACCACACAATAATCGCAGGCTTCTCCCAGTGAGTTTACCCAACCATCAACCTTCACAAATACTTAGGGCTTCAGGGTGCTTTTCTAATTTTTTTTAAAATAACAAATGGTATTTAAAAGAATTTGAAAAATTGTTACGTGATCTATGTAACAAACAGATCAAATAAGTCCATCCTGGGTTCTTTTCGAACAAACATGTTGATAAAAATACTAAACAAAAAGATTTTACCTCTGTCATACCTACTCAGAGACCATGGAGCATTCCAGTTTTACCCAAGTTCTGCTCACCTCCTGTAATTTATGTCCTGAGCGGGCACTAGAATATCCTGAACTTAAATGGGTAACAGGTAAACAGCGCCCCAGAAAACGTGGTGGAGGACGGGGCATTGAGGAAAATTCCCTTAGCTTAAATGATTTTACAGGAGGTCTTTTCTTGATTTTTCTGTTTTATATCTATTTCATGTTAAGATTTTTTTGCATATTTATAATTATTTTACAATATGGCATGTTCTGACACTTGCAAGACAATGTCAGTACTAATATCTGTGTTTTTGAAGAACATTTTGGAAAATATTTGGTACCATAATACAAAGAATCAGCTGTAGACTGTGATCATTCATAAGTGTTTTGTTTTTTTTTTTAACCTGAAAACACTCCCTAAACTATTGAAATAACCATAAGAAAATGTGTACCACATGCTTCGGGTGTACTTTATCTCTTCTAAGGTTCTTGGGAGTAAGCTTCTTGACTAATTCATCTTTATGTTCCCCAAAGCACAAAACTCTGTAAATATTCAATAAATATTTGTACCAGTATACTCAGAAAAACTCTTATTACACAGAACATTCTATATAAGAATCCAATTGTTCTCCCAATAGGTTGTTCATAATAACAATATTCTCTTGATCTAGTTATCTGGTTATTGAGACTGCCTATAAATAAACCTATACAAAAACAAAATATTTGTTTTCTGGCTGAGTTCTTACAAAATTCAATTAACCAGAACCCCAACTAACAAGAACCTCTTACTTAACAGATGTTTATCCTGAACACCAACTTTTTTTTTTTAGATTTTATTTAGTTATTTGTCAGAGAGAGAGAAAGAAAGAGCGAGCACAAGCCAGGGGAGAAGCAGGCAGAGGGAAAGCAGACTCCCACTGGGCAGGGAGCTCAATGCGGAACTCGATCCCAGGACCCTAAGATCATGACCTGAGTCAAAGGCAGATGCTTAACTGACTGAGCCACCTGGGGCACCCCCACCCTCAAGAATTCCCGCCAACCTGGAGTGCTTGGGTGGCTCAGCTGGTTAAGCATCCAACTCTAGATTTTGGCTCAGATCATGATCTCAGGGTCGAGAGATTGAGCCCTGCATTGGGCTCCACAGTGGGGCATAGAGCCTGCTTAAATTCTCTCTCTCCCTCTGCAACACCCCCCACCACACCCCCACCCTCTCTCTCTCTAAAAAAAAAGAGAAAGAAAGAAAGAAAGAAAGAAAGAAAGAAAGAAAGAAAGAAAGA